TTGCTGATAATGATCAGTTTATTTGCTGTAATTGTGACGCCACTTTGGATATTTAACAGAAACCAGATGCCTTCTTGTTAGGATTATGTGTTTACTGAGAGACGCTGATAAAGCCTGCTTTCTACCCTGTTTCCTCTATTTCTGTTCCGTTTCTGCTTAGTTTGGACAAGGAAAATGTCGACCTTTCAGCAATGAAATATTTTTGATTTGGATGGGGACAACTAGCAGGGGTTGGAATAGAGCGGGTTGGGAAAAAGAGAGCGCCGAGGCTGATTTCAAACTTATGTCCAATAATGTCCAATATATAATGGTTAAAATACTAAAAATTATCGTGGGATACATTTCTATATTAGATCATTTTATCGTTGTTTGATGCTTCCATGGCAACCATGTTTTCAAAGGCTTCTCTGTGGAATCTGGATGTTTCAGAAGTGTTTCTTTACTATCCCACAAACGATAGCGTTTAATTCGGCCAACATAAAGACACTTAAACACGAAGACATCGCATGTTGTTTTCCATGTCGGACAAAATGGGCGAACAGAGGTAATGATGAATTCAAGGTTATTAATAGTACTGCTTATCAAACCGTTTGTTTGGCGATATTTTTGTTCTTTTTTACACTGTAATAAAGGTAATAAAGGTCACATTTGTTACCTGATGTTGCTACGAAAAATTCGCTCATTTTCACGACTGTTGAAAATTAAGCACTAAGAGAATTTCTCGAAGATTAAATGCAAACTTCAGAGAATTTCTTGTAAGAAATTTACTTCTGCATCAACTTTCGATTAATAAATACTCAGCTTTATTACCAGAAGTAGTTTTTCGATTGCCTACTCTAGGATGAAATTGTTTGCTCATTTCTTTCACTAATTAAACCAGGTTGGAAAATTTTCAATTTTCCCGCCAAAAGTCCAGAAAAAATACAGGCGCTTAACATGCGCATGCGCCAAATTTTTTAATAAATTACTTCTTGTTAACATCTGTTTCAAAATTCTTAATTTTCCCGCCAAAAGACAAAGGAAAAAATGCGGGTGACTAAAATACGCATGCGCCATTTTTTTT